TGTGATTTCCGTTAAAGTTTCAATAACATTTCGAGTATCTCATATTGCCCTTTAATTGTGATGTTAATTGAAGCCCTATCATAAACATCACAATTAAGGAGCATGATGAAATGCTTGAAATGTTATTGAAACTGCAACGGAAATCACAGAGGTCATAAACTAAAATCAAATACCCCGCTAAATTTTGATGTGAACCCAATCGATAAAGAAGATTTCTTCTACAAGTAGTAGAAATTAGAGATTAGTTTTGATTGCAGCCGCTGAGATAAGCAGCAAATAGCATTCTGCAGGCGTATATGGCCGCTTCCAATCTATAACCTCTGTGATCTGTGGTTCACCTGAGATGTGCTCCACGTATGCCGCAGTCCAATAGTCTAACCGAGCGGATAGTACAGACCCCTGGAATAAAAATCGCCAGTCAAAGTTTTCTTTGAACGATAAACCCGGACTTCCCTGGACCTTTAGAAACCGATAGCACGAAGAAGTGCGACTTGTCCGACGAACGACGCAAAATGAAGGCTCAGTTCGACGGACATCACGGTGCGCAACATCGCGACTTCGAAGTAGGGGAGGAAGTCATGGCGGAAATATGGAAATATGGAATGGAAAATTGATCGGTAACACAATGGCACAAGTGTATGTTTGAGACCAAATCCTGGCTCTACACTACAACCAAATCTGGAAACACCGTGCGACTTTCGTCATGATATTGGACGACAACCTGGACAACTAGAGTGAACCTGATTCAGCCCACTCAGTCGCTCCGGGACCGAGCGATACCAAAGAGGAATTTGACACACCGCCAAGCACTCCGGAAGAAGGCCGAGAACGCCCGTGAAGCCAGTATAGGTCAACTACTGTGCTCTGGCCGGGTACCGAAGCAACCGACCGAGGCACTCCTCTTTGGTCTTCTTCTTCTTCCTCGTACGTTAGGACTCAGAGTCCTGTGTTTTTCTTCAACTTCCTAGTCCTGGGATGCTAATGTCCAGCTTTCGTACCATCGCTTCGGTGGTCTTCCTGATAGTCTTGAGCTGTTAGGTTTTTGGTTTTTGGCGATTTTTGCCATTCGGTCGTCGGCCATTCTCTCTACATGGTCTCTCCACGCTCTTCTCCTTGCTCTGGTCCATCTTACAACATCCGAAACCTTACAGGTATCTCTAATTTCTTCACTCCTTTTCATATCGTATAGTGTGTGTCCTGTTATGGATCTTAGGACTCGCATTTCCGTTGTTCTTAGTAAGCGTTTGTTTGTTGTGTTTTCCGCTCTTGTTTCTGCGGCGTATGCCATCACTGGTCTCACGCAAGTTTTGTAGATTCTGACTACTCCCTATACTCATGTGCTTGTTTCTCCAGATGATGTCTCGCAAGTACCCCGATATTAGAGCGGCTTTTGATGTTTGATTCCTTACTTCCTCCTTTAGATTCCCGTTACTCGTGATGTTTGCTCCAAGATATTTAAAGGTCATCACCTGTTCTACACTTTGGTTGTAAACGGCGAGTTTGCATCTTCGGGGCTCTTTGGATATAG